GGGGCTTCTGGGGCTCAGCCCAGCAGTGCCGGCGGCTGCAGGCACGACATGCTCTAGGTTACTGGTTTATTGAGCTCATACAGGGCACGGCTTGGATCCGTGGGATACAGTCACTGGGACATTTTCCTACTGTGGAGGGGCTGGCAGGAGAGGAGGATACAGGACGAGGGCAGTTTGTGTTTGCTATGTCCTCTGTGAGCCATCATGGCCACCCTCTGTGATTTCAGATGGGACCAGAACTCTTCTCTCCAGAGCAGCAACCCTGTGGAGCCCAGCCAGGCAGCCAGGACAGGAGGGTGCTGATGTCCTTGCTGGCCTTTAGGCAGAGGCAAGAAGGTCACCGATGTAGCCACAGGGACTGGGACTTCAAGCCCCACCTGCCCAATGCAGGGTTTGAAGCCCACAGCACAGCCCCCTGAGCCATCTCTTCTGCTTGTTCCATGTTCAAACACGGGCACTAACAACAAAACAATGTTTGGTCTTGGGAGGAGGTGGTGGAACGATCTCTACAGCTCCCCGGTGGCCCTTAGCATGGAGTGCCAAGAGCCAGGAGGGGTGGGGGGGTCTCCCGGGGCTTGTCGAAGAAGATAGAGGAGGACATCTCGGTTTTGAGCTTGCTGTCAGCGCTGCCTTCGCTGGAGGTGGTGTCAGGGCCGCAGCCCTCACAGCAGCAGCAGCAGCAGTCCATGAAGGCCTGGCCCAGTGGGCGACAGAGGCACAGGAGCAGGACCGGTGTCACCGAGCACTTGAAGAACAGGAAGAACTGATTGATGAGGTTGAGCAGGTCCAAGGTCTGCTTGGACATGTCGGGGGACATGTAGGCCACCACGATGTTGCAGACATTCTCGGGGGTGGTGCAGAGCCCATAGATGATGGTCAGCCCGATGATGGTGCAGTTCAGGTGACTCTCGCACTGGCCGTGCTTGGTCCCCCGGCACTCACTCTTCTTCTCGGTGCTGCGGATGCGCCGCGTCACCAGCTGGCAGCTGATGGTGAAGAGGATGGGCAGGCAGAAGTAGCAGCCAAAGTACCACCACATCCGAGCATTCTGGTAGGTGAGCACCAGTGAGTAGACAGACTCAGGCAGGTTGGACGAGGGCTTCATGGTGCAATACTCTGTCACCATGCCGGACACGGGCGATGTGTCCTGTGCCAGCTGCCAGAGCAGGACCTCTGGCACCGACAGCGTCATGGAGCCCACCCAGATGACAGCCAGCTTGGCGATGATAGACTGGCAATGCTCGATGGGCCGGGTGCTGGTCTGGGGGCTGGTGGCTGCATGGAACCTGTCGATGCCCAGGGCACAGAGGCTGAAGGTGGTGACTCCCAGTGATGACACCTAGTGAGGGAAGAGGCAGAACAGGTGGGCCCTGATGCCGGGATGTCACCACCAGGCTGGTGGCAAACCCCTGGCTACGTAAGACCACAGCCCTTTCTCCAAGGTTGCAGGGAGGCCACAGCCTGTGGCTGCATCACAAGGTTACTTTTCTGTGACTCCTGAAAGGACAGCAGATAAAAATGTCCCCTGATCCATTGTCCCTGCCCAGCTCCCTTTTCTTCAGAAGAGACAAGCTTTGCTGGATCTCTGTCCATCCAGCCAGGGTGGAAACAGCAGGATTGTCCCTTAGGCTCTTCCTCTAATCTGGATGGCTCTTTAAGAGGAAAAGCAGGGACCATCACACCCACCAGCAACTTCTCAGGGTTCCCAAGGCCCCCCCAGGCTGGCTTGATCCTGCCCTGCTCTCCTGGACAGGCCAAGCAAGTTGAAGGCACCGTTGTCCCAAATCAGCTTGGGGCAATTTCCGCTGTATTGAGAACGACAGGAAAAACATCCCCTTTGCCAAAGGAAGAGGCCAGAGGAGGCAGAGGAATCACCGTGGCTCTGGGAAGGCTGGCCAGACACCGGGGGTCATGATCAGCATTCCCAGCCCCAGGCCCAGAGCTGGGAGCCAAGTCCCACAGCCCTTGGCCAGGATGATGGCAGAGTCACATGCTGGTGCCCCC